TTTACTTATATATATATATATATATATATATATATATATATTACGCAAAAAAGGTTTCCAACATATCTAACCAATCAAAACAATCCTATTGAGCCAAAACAAACAAAAACTTAGTTTTTGATAAGTTTTCAACTAAATTTGATTTTTACTTTGGAACATCTTGATAAAAGTAAAGTACAAATTGCTCGACCAGTTAGACAAGGCAGTCCAGTCTTGATAACTAAGACAGTGGAGATGAAGGACAAGGACCGTGGAGATGAAGGACATCAAGACAAACAAAATGAAATAACAATTTGTTGTTTTAATAATGGAAATTTGGATGCTATTACGAATGAGGAAAGTAAAAATGTGCAGCTGCAATGATAAGAAACACTCAAAGAAAAAATTGCTTAACTTATTGTGGAGTTGAGATATTTACTTCAGCAGGAAGTCAAACCATCTATGAAGAGTTCTAGAAGCAATCACAACAGCACCCTACTGCCAAACAATCACTAGTGGCTAATGATGTGTTCAATTGAGTACAATATGGTTCCCATTGGATTCTAGCATGCCTAAATGTGCACTAAGATATCGTTAGTGGCTAATAATTTTTTTTTTTTTTGGTGAATCAGTGGAGAGGAGAGGACTCCTACCTTTCGTAGGAATTGAGCTTAGAATGTAGCGTTGTAAATCGATAAGTGCTAACCAGTTAAACCCGGGCTCTTTCCCTATGGGTGGCTAATGATGTGTTCCGGTGATTACAATATGGTTCCCATTGGATTCTAGCATGCCTAAATGTGCACTAGATTCTAGCAAAAGATTTTGAAAAAAGTTCATATAAAGTTGCAACCTTATATTATTAAAGTAAGGTGCATCCAAAAAATCTTACAGAAAAGAGTGTTCCGTAGTGGAAACCTTTCAATTGAAAACGAATTCCCAGTCCAAAAAGTAATGCATCTTGTATCAAGTCATCTAGACTTTCTACTTTTAAGATTTTTATTGTTTGCTAATTTGCTTGATCTGTGCCACTTTTGTTTTCAAAATTTTTAATTTTATAATTTAGGATAGGTTTTCCAAACCATCATAAAGTTTCCGACATCAGAGTTCAAAGATGCGCCTTACTTCTACAATATAGGGAAGCAACCCTATACAAACCTCACCCAAAGATTTTCCTTACATATTAAAGTCTAATCTAGCTCAATGAGACTCCCACTCATAACCAAGCATTATCACACATAAAGCACTGCTTAGTTAATTATATATGGGTGGTTGGGAAACCTACAGCCCTAGCTGCTTTTTGTAGGACCACAATAGTCCAAAATAGTTGTTAACATTCTCTCCTTACCAAACTTTAGCAGGGTCCAATTTACATACACAATTCTAAAATTAAAGTACAATCTTAAAACCAGCCTGTCCTTAATCTAAGAAACTCAACATAGTGCCCCTATCCCTAGACCTACTTCCACGAGGCCCACCTACCACGACTAAAATGCATCCTATTTAAGAAGTAAAGAAAGAGATAAACGCGGTCGGTGCCATCTTCCTTGACAGATCAATGGCAATGGTGAAGAAGGGTAAGAGGAACCAGATTTGGGTCACATTGATGACCCTCTTCTTTTGCCATCTCGGCTTCTTTGTCTCCACATCACCACAAAGGTTAAAAAAAATAAAAATAAAAGAAAATAATATATATATATATATATATCGAATGGGTAGTCTACTCGGTGTTGGAAAATATAAAAATAACAAACAATAGGAAATGTATGGTTAAAGTAAGATTAAGCAAAATACATTAAGGTTAAAAAAATGTAAAAATAAGTATTCATGGACAAAAACCAATGGTTTAAAAAACGAATCGGTGACCCGGATCGGGTTTCCAAAAAACCGATTCAGATCAGTGAATCGACTATCCGGATCGGGAATCGGGTGAATCGGTCAAAATAAAACTTAAAAAAAAATTCGAAAAAATTATTAAAATTCATTATAAATATTGTTTTTTAGGAATTCAGTAAGAAATGAGGGTACTCCATTAAGAATTTTCATGTTTTTGAATGAATATGCGAATATTGATATGTTTTTTCCCTGCATGAACCGCTATTCAGCATTTAATTTACATCACACAAAAGGATAAACATAAAATTATCATGGAATAAGTATATCAACATACATGGACTACAATAAAGCATAAAATTAGTAACATATGATCTAAAAATAAAATGATAGACGTCGTTATTGTTCTTCTTGGTCACGCTGGTGCCATTGGTTGAATTCGTTTAACAATTCATTGATTCGATCTAAAAACGAATCATCGATATTAGCAGGCGTCTGACTATTCCCAAATCCCTGAGTGTTAGTGTTTTGTTGTGTTCCCAATCTAAAATCCCCAAAGATTGTCCATCCTTCATACTCACCTGCACTGTCGTGCTCATCCCTACACTGTTGCTGTTGGGACTCGATATGTGAATGATATGGTTGGGATAGGGTGGCATCAGAATCATCATCTCTCTCATTTTCTCTTTGAATAATATGGATTAAAAAAAAAATTAACAAATTTCCAAAAAAATCGATCATAGATTAAAAAAAAAAAATCACAAATTTTCAAAAAATTCTATCATGGATTACAAAAAAAATTCGATCATGGATTAAAAAAAAAAATCACAAATTTTCAAAAATTCAATCATGGATTACAAAAAATTCGATCATGGATTACATAAAATT